CAATCGAAATGATGCATTCATTCAATTTTCCTATTAATTTGAAATCGAAAACGTTCAGGACGAACGAAGTTGATTTTTGTTCGCATTTGAAAAAAAATTAAGTGAATGTCAATTTCAGTCATGTTTAAGCGGTTTTGTGTGCGTGCTAACGATGGGTTCCTTTCATATATTCTCAAAAATCTTTACATCCAACTGGTCTCTTTTCTACTGCACTACTGTAGCATGGATTCTATCACAAAGTGTCGATGGGTTCGTTTTAATGAACATCACTACTCGCAGCTGTACGATTTCAATTGCATGCTTTCTTTTCCGCTCCGATAAAGTGCAATGAAGTTATTAATTAACTCGAAAACGGAAGCAATAAGAAAACTGCATAATCTCTTTCAGGTTGATCGTGCTTGCATTCGATTTGCTGATGCACATGCAAAGAAAATCGATAGGTCAAATAACGAGAGTCGCTGTCACGCAGTTGTAGCAAAATGATTGATTGCAATATTGAGTGAATCGTGCTTCTTTTCGAATATTTTAGCTGAGCACTTTATTTTTCTAACGTGAACAATTTTTTGAATGTTTCACAACAAGCATCTCTTCAACTTGTTCATTATTTGTCATTAGTATTGGTCATGTTGCATTCCGTTTGAAACTGATCAATAAAGTCGACTGTGAATCACTACTATGTGTTCGTTTCGACTCTTTCAGTATCATCAGAATGGAACCAATTATCAAAGAAGTTGTTAATGGTCGGTCGCGTTAATAACTCATTGTAAAGTACAACAGTTGTCATCATGATTATGAACTAAGTGTATTATTCACCATGTTCTGGTGTATAAAGTCATCGGTTTTAAAGGAATCACTGTACTAGGTGAGAAATGGAACACAAAAGAATCAGAAGTTACAGTCGCATTCATTCTCGAGAGTGCCTTTTTCGATCCCTTTTAAACTATGAGATCTCGGACGTGAAATCTTTATTGGCATGTGTAATGCGAAAAGCGAATTGCATCAGTTTTGACCTCCTTACACATAGAATAGTGCCGAGATTCACACTTTGTTGATAGATCAATTTTTTGAGTTTTTATTCGCGACATAAATATGTACAATTTATCACAAAAAAGGTATTCAGTCGACCGAGTCGTATCAAAAACGTTTGCTCGAAATAAGAATTTAATTTATGAAAAGTCCAGAGGCGATAAACTGAAAATAAAATTGGACTTGACTATACTGAACCAATTTTGCTCACCGAAAATGGCATACAAAGAAGATTTTTCGTTGGAACACAAATAAAAGTTTTGAATGCGGTTCCAGTTGATCCGCTACACAGTTTTATTAAAATTATCCATCAGTGACAGTCGTCGAATTTGTCCTCCCAGTCGGCGCCAGGTAAACCTTACGGTATTTTTGACTAAACTGATCCTGGACAACGGTTGTCAGGCGATTTTCTTGAATTTTCAGTTCATTCATCTACAGTGTCTTTTTTCACGCTGTTAAAGTTGAGATTGAAGGAACAAGATCTATCGACAGAATGAACTGAAAAACTGAAATGAATTTTTGATCAATCAAACTTAAGTTATATACTGGTGGTCGTCACACTTATGCACTCTGTGCCCCCCTCCTCCCCTTTGCTCAACACTCTGAAATTTCCTCTGGAAGAATTTTCCCCTACCTACTAGAACCATTGTTATATGCATTCGGTTGGTAGTTCTTCTAGGCAAAATTCGCGAAAATTGGATTTCATATAAAAGTTTCCGATCGTTTCTGTCACAAACAATCAGCGAATTCACGTCCTCTTGCAAATGTAGTGTCTCGCTGCCGAACAAAATGAATCCATCCACGTACCGTCTGGACCCATTTCAATGCAGTTTTCATTGTGATTACCATTATTTGGTTCACCTGAAACGAAAACTCTTTCGAACGTGTCTGAAGCGTTCCACTGCCATAATCAAAGTATTGCATATGTGAAATTTATGCTTAAAATTTGAACGGTGTCATGCTTTTGAACCACCAATACTGACTATTACATTGCTCTTCATCATTCACGCAAATTCATGATAACAGTTA